TACCCTCCCAGGGATGTTGTCCAGTCTTGTGATTTCACTGATGGCGTTAATATTGAAGACAATATCGGGCCTTTTCATCGCTTCATGATTACAAGCAAAAAACGGCAAAAAGGTAAAACTGATGCCAAGAGTCCACTTATAAAAAAAACAAACCCAACACAGCCCCCTTCTAAGAGCGACCGTGAGAGGTTATCTGGTTTAGTCCAAAATATCTGGACAGGCTACTGTTTGTGAAAAGCTACAGCCCACATGGAAAATTAAGATGCACATTAATCCTCGTTTTTTTTTTCCACGGGCAACATAAAAACCTGACAACCTGATTTCAAAAGTCCAAAAAGAAACGACAACAAAAGAGTGAAAGAGTGCGATTTGTTTGCACCTGATCTGACTGCATGAGAGCGAGCAGGCAGCATGTGGTGTACCTGACTGTTTATCCAGGGCTTATGGTTAGGGAACCTCCTGACTTATATGGTGGGCACAATGTTGTCAATACAGGTACTAGTGTACCCAGTCACACACTTGGTGTAGTCCTGTACACTGACAGAGAGGTCCTCCGAGGTGACTGCAGCTTTAAACACATCCCAGTCTGTCTGGGCAAAACAGTCCTGCAGGGTGCCCTCAGTCTCTGGGGTCCAGAGTTTAATTTGTTTGGTTACAGTGTTTGTTTGTTTCAGTCTTTGTCTGTAAGCTGGATACAGGAACAAAGGAATGTGGTCCAAGCATCCAAGGTGGGGCTGGGGTGCGGCCCTGTAAGCACCACGTATGTTACTGTAAACATGATCCAGAGTGTTCTTGCCCCGGGTGGGAATGTTCACATGTTGGTAATATTTGGGAAGTACAGTCTGTAAATTGCACTGGTTAAAGCCACCTGCAGCGATAAATACAGCATCTGGGTGCGCTGTCTCTAGCGCACTGATGACATCATAGAGTTTGCTGAGAGCTGCAGAGGGATTAGCTTTTGGGCTTTTGGGGGACAACTGTGTTGAAGGTGGAGCTGTAGTCAATGACCGTGGTGCGGTGGGTAGAGCAGTCGTTTCCCAACCACAAGATTGGAGGTTCGAATCTCGGTATCTGCAGTCCACGTGCCAAAGTGTCCTTGGGCGAGACATTAGCCCCTGATGGTTAGAGCCATTGGTTGAGTTGGCGCTGCAGATGGCTGCCATTGGTTGTGTACCGGAAACAAATTCCTTGTGTGTGCAACATACTTGGCCATTCATTCATAACATACACAGCACTATGCTCTCTGGCTAAATAAAAAGGCTGGCATTTCAGCAATAAAAACTCAAAGTCTGGCGAACAGTGCTTATAAACAGTCTGTACATCTCCACACCATGAGTTATTGATAAACACACACACCGCCTCCTTTTACCTTCCCCGAAGCAGCAGTGCGGTCACCTCGATGTACAGAATGTGTTTGTAGCTGAATTGCGGAATCTGGGACTCTGTCAGAAAGCCAAGTCTCGGTGAGAATTAGAGCACAGCATTCTCTGATTTCCCGTTGTGCTGTAATCCTAACCCTTAGCTCATCCAGTTTGTTTTCCAGAGACTGTACATTAGCTAGGAAGAGGCTGGGTAATGGCGGTTGAGTAGCACGAGCATTTAGCCTAGCATGGAGTCCCCCGCGCTTGCCTCGCTTGTGTCTCTCTCCTGATTTCAGCCTGCTCGCTTGTGCCTGGTGCTCTGGGGGCTCCCTGAGGGTGATGGTGGTTGTAGTCGTTGTTGTTGTTGTTGTTGCTGTTGTCTGCTTCGGGAGCAGACAATGAGTTGTAGCTCCGGTGATATGAAACCAGTAAATTCCCAGTGGCTGTCTGAGTTGGCGATATCCAGCAATGCATGTCTGTTGTATGTTAGCAGTGCATAACATTTGTGCACTGCAGAAAGAGTAAAAAACACACAAAAAAGAAGAAAATGAAGAAAAAGCCAGCATTGGAGAGTGGAACGCGCAAACATGTCCGCCTCAGTGGGCGTCAAAGGTGGACTCGTTAAAGAGTCCATGGCTGAGATGAAATAGGAACAGGAAGTGGTGACAAAATAAGAGCTTGAAACTGGAAGCAGTAGGACAGAACCATGACACTTTTCACATGATCATCCTTACCCAATGAGGCGAAATCTTGGATGGAGCTCCAGATCGAGGGTGATGGTTAGTTTGTATTTCTTCCTTTTGTTAATAGCCACTCCAACAGTTGTCTCCTTCTCACCAAGCTTCTTGCTGATGGTCTTGTAGCCCATTCCAGCCTTGTGCAGGTCTACAATCTTGTACCTGATTTCCTTTGACAGCTCTTCGTTCTTGGCCCATGGTGGTGAGGTTTGAATGGAAGCTAGAGAAACTCTGTGGACATGTGTCTTTTATACACATAACGAATTGACATTAGGAGCACCTTCTTAAATTGACAGGACTAATTTGGGCACCATATGAGCACATACCCAGTCTGTGGGAGCCAGAATTATTGTTGGTTGGTAGGGAATCAAATACTTATTTTACTCATGGAAATGCAACTCAGTTTATAACATTTGTATCATATGATTTTCGGGATTTTTTGTTGATATTCTGTCTCTATTCTTTAGAATAGATCTATGATAAAGATTACAGACCCTTCATTTCTTTGTAAGTGGGCAAACCTACAAAATCAGCAGGGGATCAAATAATTCTTTTCCCGACTGTATTTCATGTCCTGACATCAGTCAGTCAGGTTTCCATCCTGCTCTAAAGGGGATGAGAGGAGCTGGTTTGATTGGACAGAACTAAAACCAGCCCTGACTCCTCCTGCTCACCATATATTCCTCCCTGAACCTGCCCATATGGGCCTTGCTCCTGGACATGAGTCACCTGTTTAGCAGTTTGCCCAGTTTTAGGAAAAAATACCTGTTTACCTGAATGGTCCACAATGCTGTGACGGTCTGTATCGTACTATGGCAAAGATGGTGGGCAGCATACAGAGAAAAAGCATGAAAAGAAGCATAGCCAGGTAGAAATTGTTTGATCTGAAAACAGAAAGAAAGCAAAATGAACATTTTTAACTTTTCTGTTATTTTTGGAACATAACTGTATTGCTGTACAGTGGGCATTCACCACTTTAGCTAGCCTCTTCCTCTGAATGCTGTCCTGTACTTCCTCGTTCCACCACCATGTTTCCTTATCTTCTTTCCTCCTTCCAGATGACACACCTAGCACCTTCCTACCTGTCTCCCTGATCACTTCTGCTGTAGTTTCCCAGTCATCTAGAAGTTCTTCCTGACCACCCAAAGCCTGTCTCAACTTCTGTCTGAATTCCTCACAACATTCTTTCTTTTGCAACTTCCACCACTTGGTCTTCTTTTCTGTCTTTCCTCTCCTCTTCTTCCTGACCACCAGAGTCATCCTACACACCACCATCCAATGCTGTCTGGCTACACTTTCTCCTACCACCACTTTGCAGTCACTAATCTCTCTCAGATTGCCTCATCTACATAGAATGTAGTCTACCTGCATACTCCTACCTACACTCTTATATGTAACTCTGTGTTCTTCCCTCTTCTGGAAATAGGTGTTAACTACAGCAATTTCCATCCTCTTAGCAAAGTCCACCACCATTTGTCCTTCTATGTTCCTTCCCTTGAGACCAAATCTGCCCATCACCTTCTCATCACCTTTGTTCCCCTCACCAACATGCCCGTTGAAGTCTGCCCCAATCACCACTCTCTCCCCTCTCCATCACCTCATCTAACTCACTCCAAAATCTCTCCTTCTCTTCTAACTCACACCCTACTTGTGGAGCATAACCACTGACTACATTCAACATTACCCCTTCAATTTCCAACTTCAAACTGATCACCCTGTCTGACACTCTTTTCACCTCTAAAACATTCCTCACCAGCTCCTCCTTCAGGATCACTCCTACCCCATTTCGCTTCCTGTCCACACCATAATAAAACAGTTTGTATCCCCTTCCAATGCTTTTTGCAAACATGGGCAAAAATGTTGTCTTTCATATGACATGTTCCTTTTCCTATATTGCATGTAATCTACAGCACACATACCAACAGTTTGTCCATGCTACATTTTGTCTTTGTAGAAAACATTATTCCACCAATACGATAGACATAAGGAGTTTTTTTTCACCATCCAGAGCGACAAGATGGCGCCAGTGTTCGTGGCTGCTCGTCTGTTGCTCTCATTCTGGCTGATGATTATGGCGTTTTTAATTGTCAGTGTATCAAGGACGGAGTCTCTGCTGGTGTACGATCGCCGGTTCCTTTTGGACTGCTGTTTAATACTGTACTTTATGTCCCCTGTATAGTAACAGTAAAATACTATGTTGGGTGTGGTGCTCCTGTGTGTTACAAACAGCTTTGACAAGTGCAGTATTGTGGAAGCCAATTAAGAAATAATTTTTCTGTTTGATGGTAGGTGCTGCATTTCTTGTTTGAGGCCAGTATAACACTAGACAACTTCAGAGATGCTGAAGTTAAATACAAGTCATCATTCTATAATTATGAGTGGGAGCTGGGGTGTGTGGGGATGCATATACAAGCCTTCTGTATAATCACCAGTGATCCATTATGAGTCACTCTCTCCTCTAGCAGAACTGCATTGCATAGCTCATTTAAAATGTTCTCTCAGCTACCTCACGTCCTCACAATGGAGACAAAAATCACATGACCTCAAGGTTTAAGCTAACCCCATGTTGGTCATGGTGTGTTTATTTAGATGCACAGAACACCGGTCCCATATAGCTACACAGGATATGGCTGCTCAGCCAGTTTCACCCTCTGACTACACCTGAGGAATTGCTGTCACATACGCCTGTGGAGATGGCTGGTCTGTCAGTAGATGACAAGGTAAATCCTGAATATAGGTATGTTTTTTATTCATAAAAAGGGATTTAACAGAATTAAGCTATTTCCTATGCTTTTGTTAAATACGTGTTTTCTCTTTAACAGATCCTCTCTCTAACAGCTTCTGGTTGCTAAACCAGTGTCCTATTATTTCATGGAACCTGCAGTGGAAGAAAAAGCTGGCTTCAACTTGCCTCCCTCCAGCTCCAGACTCAATGATTGCTATGCCAGCCAGCTCTGCACTGCGGGAGGTAATGGAAGACCAGAATAAAGCTGAATAAAGTTATTAAAGAGCCTATGTTGCTTTTCCTTGTTTTCTGACTTATCTACAATGTTACAACTGTCAATAATCATCTTAGATGTGACATTAAGCTCAAAAAATGAGGTGTACCTATGTTCTAGTATTTCTATGCAGAAGCAATTCGGTTTAAACATGTCTCACAAACTCACTCGCAAGAAATTTTTTTCCTAATAAAATAAAGCATTATGTGATGGTTCAGTGATTTCCTTGAATGGTAATGGTCATAATGCGCAGGCTGTTGTGCGTTCAAGTGAGCTTACCTGACATCCACCAGTGCCCCAACCATACTGGCAAAATGTTATATTGCCTTGTTTGTTGTGTATGTTTTCAATAAAGCTTATTTTAGACTTCCACTGGTGCCATTGTAAAAGGAATTTTTCAGTCATTCAGGGGAAGAAACAGTGACCACTAGTTGGATTTACTGACCTTGGAGCTACTCTAAAGGGAGTGATGTTTCCACTACTCAGTGGGACTTAATGGTAAGTTTAAAAAACACATTGTGTGTCTGTTAATGCCTTGCTTCTGTAATGTTAGAGAGAATTGTTGTAAGGCTGGAGAAGTTACTATGTCTGCATTATGCCAGTTAAAATATGGGGTTTCTCAATTACCCACTTTGGTTAGTGTTACGCATCTCTTTCCATTGGTACATATACCATTGTTTACCTATCTATGAAGGAGAAATTCAAATTTATTAATGCCATTGCAGTTCATTGTATTGCTTGCGACACAACACTGGCAGCAGGAGTTAAATAGCTGGAAACAAGCAAAATGAGCATGCCATGGGCTCTTTAATTACATTTTACCTGACAGATATTGACCTGTCACTACATACAATGTTCTTCCGTAAGGCAATAAGTAGACAAGTAAACAAGGTAGGGCTGACAGAACAAAAAAAAGCTTCTCATAAGAAAAAAAGAAGTATACTGTTTATTTTTATTCTAAAATTATTCCTTACATGTAACTTTTGAGTTAAACTATCATGGGTAAACTTCCTTGAAATTAAACACTGTGAATTATTTAATTAAGAGAGAAGCAATATTCCTTATACTTATCAATCAAAATATCAAACACCTGTCAGTTCAGAAAACATCAGCCTATATTTGTGTGCTGACAGTCCAACCTAATGTAATAAATCCCTCTTTGATGTGTCAAACCTAGTCTGTGGTGGTGCACTAATTCCATGAGAAAGAAGACTCTATGATATGCAGGTGGCCAGCTGTCCTATTTCCCAGTGGAAAACCCTAATAAATTCCAATAATGCCATTATGAAACCTATAATAAAATGTTCCACTGTAGAAATGTAACATGGATATTTGAAGTCTTTCGAAGTATGTAGTTAGGGTTCGGCTCCTCTGATCTACACGGAAGCTAGTTGTCTCAAAGCTACAGTATAAACCCCTCAGCTTCACAACTCACTTTGACAGAAGCAATATTCTCATATTCTCTCTAATGCATTATGCCAAAAAGTGCCCTCTCAGCTACTGAAAGATGCAATTGTGTGTGTGTGTGTGTGTGTGTGTGTGTGTGTGTGGCCTTGTTTACAGTGTATATAATCTTGTGGGGATGAAACACTGAGCGCACACTGCTTTGTGGGGACCAGAAATCAATTGTGGAGACTGGAGGCTGGGCCCTGTGACTAATTTGTCAAATGTTAAGCAAATGATGCGGTGTAAGGTTAGAGAAGGTATCTACTTTGGTTAAGGTTAGGCAAGTAGCAGTTCTGGTTATGGTTACGGCAAGTCTGGAAATGAATGTATGTCTATGTTTGGACCCTGTAAGTGACAGTCACAAGGATGGCTGTGTGTGTGTGTCTGTCCGACCTGGAGGCCCGGAACACCTGCTGATGGGGAACATTACAGGTCAGGACAGCCCAGCTCCTGAGATACATCAGACCAATCAGCTTCAGCACATTGAAGGCTGGAAGACAGGGAGAGAAAAATGCTCCCATCCTGAAGGAAAGAATGAGAAAAGTCAGTAGGACACACACCCATACACATATACACAGGCACTGGGGTGACATATAAAAGCCATTATATCCAGTGGCTCAGTTGTTTTGCTTCATTACATTCATTGTTACAAGATGACATTTCTGAAATGAGCAGAGGAAATACAGTTGAGAGTTGTAATGGAGAGATTATAGAGGGCCACAGTGGGTCAGCACCAGACAGACTATTAACTCTGAGTTAGAGCCTCTATTACATTTGTGGAGATAAGGCACTGCTGATACAGTAGAATTGCATGAAATATGTCCTGAAAATTTTTTTTTATCAATTACTTTAGATACATTTTCAGACTTACCAGATCATTCCTTGGTTATAAATTAGATGCAAAACATTTTCAGCTATTTTGAATTCTCCATATTCAGGCTGAGAAAAGAAAAAAGACAATCGTGGTGTTTTTATGCTGTTGTTGTTTTCCTCTTCTATATATCAACTATAAAGTTTTTAAATTATGAGGTAGAAGCCATCTTTGGTCCAGCAGTCAAACATTCAAAATGGTCCATATTTGCATATTTGATTTTCCAATTAGGAAAAAGAAGAAGAATTATTATTAAAAGTTACTGTTTTAAAACACAATAATTCAGCTTGTGCACAACTTACAAACTTGCTCTCTAAATCCCAGCAGCAGCAGTCACTTAGGTAACGAACCACTAAACCTCTGATGAAGTCAATGAGCAGGATGCTGGCCACCGTAAAGATCATGTCAATGATGGACAGCTTCAGCATCTCCTGGAGACACACCATAGACATACCCATACAAAGATACATTATAGAGCTTCTTTAGTTATTCACTTCTCAATCCATGCTTAAATCTGCCCATTATGTCAGTAATGTCTCTAGCTGTGTGCTTCTGCATTCTGATGTCTGCACATCAGGGACTTGCACTGAGAAAAGTCTTCATTTTTATTGCTAACAGAGTACATCTACAGACTGACAAAAACATGATCATGTCAAAAGTGTCTAGCAATTATCTTGTAGGTAATGTAAAGAGAGAATCATGTAATCATGTTTAATGGTGTTTATATTATAGCCCTTGTGCCAGTAGTGTTTGGTTGCTCATTTATCACCTTAGGCCCATATTTTGATAGATTGACATGAAATTTGTACAGACATTAGTGGTGCCCTCCTGACATTTCCCCTGTCAACATGATCTGGTCAAAATTTCAGTTTGTATTAGGTCATAAGCCAATACTTTCACTGAAACTGAAATTTTGATAATAAGGGGATACATTCAAATCACAAGTGAGAGTGACTCGAGTCTGGCTTTTTTCCTGATTCTGCTTATATATATAGTATATGATACACACACATCTGTTGTTAAAACTAACATGAACACAGGGAATCTGATGTTTTCATTTCTAAATCAGCCACTTTCAGATATTGTCTGCAGCAAATCAGTGTAATAACTGCACATAATGTAATTTTAAAAAGTAATAAAAGCTGATAATATAATCTGCCAATGAGGTAATAAAGATGGTGAGATATAAAATATAATAAGTTTTTGGTTTAGTTATTGCATTATGAGTCTAGTGGTAACATTTTTGTTAATCTTGTCTTAACAATACTGTAAATTGAGAGCTTCGCCTTGCAGCTCATCTCCTTCACCACGACAGACCGGTACATCAACCACATTACTGCAGAAGCTGCACTGATCGACCTGTCAATCTCCCGTTCCATCCTTCCCTCACTCGTGAACAAGACCCCAAGATACTTGAACTCCTCAACTTGAGGCAGGAGCTCTCCACCAACCTGAAGGAAACAAGCCACCCTTTTCCGACTGAGAACCATGGACTTCACATACGCACAGTCATTAATACAGATTTTTTTACCACTCCACAGATGTCATGTTAACAAACTCTTGTTTTGCCAAGTTGGTGAGGATATGTACTTTATCAGAATCAGAATTAGTTTTATTGGCCAGGTGTATTGGACACATGAGGAATTTGACTCTGGTACAGCGGGACTCTCAATGCGTATGTACATGGACTTATGTAAGGCAGCAGTGGGCAAATAACCAATATATGGCTGAGAACAGAAGTAAAGAAGTAATATGCAATCAAGCAAAGGATTGTGCCTTAGGAATAAAAATAAAGTACTATATACAAACACTCTGGATTCGATGGATCAATATCTATCTACAGGTACTGCACTGAGGGTTATTGTCTAGTCATACTGTTGTTGGTTAAGTGTTCATCAGACTGACAAGTCCACTGTCATCTCCACTGTTTTGAGCGTGTCTGTAGGCTGACTCATCACTGTCTCAGATGAGACCAATGACCATTGTGTCATCTGCAAACTTTAAGAGCATGACAGAGGGGTCCTTTGAGATGCAGTCGCTGGTGTAGTGTGAAAACAGCAGAAGGGAGAGCACACATCCCTGGGGGGCACCTGTGCTTATTGTCCAGATGCTGGATGTGTTTTTCCCAGCCTCACTTGCTGCTTCCTGTCTGTCTGCCAGAAAGCTAGTAATCCACTGACAGGTGGGGGCAGGCACAGTGAGCAGTGGCAGTTTTGAGTGGAGGATGTCCAGGATGATGGTGTTGAATGCCGAACTGAAGTCCACAAAGAGGGCCCTGGGGAGTCGAGGTGTTGCAGGATGTAATGCAGTGCCATGTTCGCTGCATCGTCCACTGACCTGTTTGCCCAGTAGGCGAACTGCAGGGGGTCTAGCAGGGGGTTTATGGTGTCCTTCAGGTGGGCCAACTACAGATGTCAGGGCAACAGGTCTGTAGTCGTTCAGTCCACTGATGGGGGTTTTCTTGGGGACTGGAATGATGGTGGAATGTTTGAAGCAGGAGGGGACTTCAGCTCCAGTGACCTGTTGAAGATAAGTGTGAAGATAGGGGCCAGCTGATCAGCACACACTTTCAAGCAGGAGGGGGTCATGCCATTTGGGCCTGGTGCCTTTCTGATCCTTTGTTTTTTTTTTAAAGAGGCCATGCACATCCTTTTCACAGATCATTAGAGGTGGGGGATTGGAGGGAAGGGTGGTGATTGTTGGGGGAGCAGCTGCTGGATCTGAGGTGGGGAGGGTGCGGGGGGAGTGTTGTTTGTCAAACCTGCAGTAGAACACATTCAGGTCATCTGCTAGTTGACGGTCCTCCACATCGGAGGAGATGGTTTCCTATAGCCAGTGATGCTTTTCAGGCTTCTCCACACAGTCTTTCCCACAGTAACTGTAAATGCTACATTTCAATCTGTTAGAACTTATGAGTTTTCCTCCATCAAGCATTTTTATCAATACTCTCTCTCAAGCTTAAGTAGCAGTATAAGCATAATTTGATTTTACAGTACGTTCCCTCTAAAATTGTTACATCCTTGTTCAGCATAGCCTTATTTTCTACTGTAGTACCTACATGTATTCTAACTACCAGGCCACGCACATCCTATTCACAAATTGTTGTTGTTTGTCAAACCTGCAGTAGAACACATTCAGGTCATCTGCTAGTTGACGGTCCTCCACAGCGGCGGGGGGGGATTGGGGGGTTTTTAGTGATGCTTTTCAGGCTTCTCCACACAGACAAGGGTCCTAAGGCACAATCCTTTAATGCTCTGATCTCCTTTGTCAGTGTGTTCCTGGCCTGGCTGTACAGAGTCTCGTCCCCACTTCTGTAAGCCTCCTTTTTGGCACAATGGAGCTGCTTGAGTCTTGCTGTGAACCAGGGATTGTTGTTGTTGTATGTGCAGAAGAACCTTTTGGGCACACACATCCTCACAAAAGCTGATATAAGACGTGACAGTGTCAGTGAGTTCGTCCAGGTCTGTAGCTGCGGTCTCAAATACACTCCAGCCTGTGCAGTCAAAGCAGGTTTGTTGCTCTGAATTAGTCTGCTCAGTCCAGCTCTTCACTGTTTTAGCCACAGGCTTCGCAGCTTTAAGTTTCTTCCTGTAGGTTGAAACAAGATGGACCATACAGTGATCAGAGTATCTGAGGGCTGTGCGGGGGACAGAGCGATAGGCATCTTTTATTGTTGTGTAGTAGTGGTCCAGTGTGATTTTGTCCCTGGTGGCACATGTGATGGGCTGTCTGTATTTGGGCAGTTCTTGGGTGTTACATATTAGTAAATAAATAATTTTTAGACATTAATGTGTTAGTAATGCAGTTTAGTAAGATTTAAAGTCTGCTCTAGTCTTTTTGTTTTAAGGTTAGCAGACATAATGTTGATTCTGAAAAGTGAACCATGACACTAATTCTTTTTCTGTATTAATCTTGTTTTAGAATATTATGTCTGAATAAATGAATAAATGCCTTAGCTACACACCATGTGACAACATACACACACATTGAGATTCTTCATTTTGTTATGACTAGGTAAAAATGCAGCTGCTCAAAGCATGTGGAGCACTAGATAAGAGATGGAGTCTTCAAACTAATTTCATCTGGGTAAGGGGTTAGCCTAAACCTTATAAATGTATCAGGTTCTGTGTGGCCAGGGACTCCACCTTCCAGCTGCCTGTGTGTGTGTGTCTGGAAGGGGTAGTAACCTGGGTCGTGTTTGTAATTTTTGCTTGTGGTTAAAATAAATCAGCACTAGATGAAGAAAGACGGACTCCATCGTTATTCAGAGCTGTCCAATTAAAGAACTGGGGTATTACATGGGTGAGATTTACTCTGTTAAAGTCACCTAGAGCAATGAGTGGGGAGTCGGGATGTTCTAGCTCCTCATCTCTGTCTTGTCCGTGTTGAGGCTGAGATTATTGTCCTTGCACCATGACACCAGACCAGCCATCTCCCTCTTGTAGGCTGCTTCGTCCCCACCAGTGATGCGTCCTATCACTGCGCTGTCATCTGCGAACTTTAGGATGATCTTATCTTTGAGGGAGGCAACACTGTCGTGGGTGAACAGGGTGTAGAGGATGGGACTGAGGACACATCCCTGCGGGGTGTCGATGTTTGTGATAATGCTGGCTGTACCTTGGGGTGTGGAACCTTTGACAGACTGCTGTTTCCTGCTTCTGCAGTAATCGTAGTCATTTCCTGTTTTCTGTGTCTGCATTGCATTTGTGCGTGCTCCCAGATTGTTTAGGAATTAAACTTACTGTTTATAGGTTCATTTGAATTTTTGAGTAACAACATACGCTTGCACCACTTAAGCACTTGTGTTGCAGAAGTTCTTCCTAATTACCAGATTTAATTTGCTACTTTTGGCCAGCTAGCTTAGATGCCAGCTACACTTGTAGCCTAATTTAGAGCAATGGCTTCCCCCTGTTCCTCTTCTACTTTCTCTTGCTCGGAGTGTTGCATGTTCAATTATTTCTCTGCCTCCTTTAGCGTTAATGGTACTTGTAATAAATGTCAGATGCTAGCAGCATCTTTCCATTACAGAACCAAGGCAGCCATCTGTGGTACAAACTCAACCGATGGCTCTAACCATCGGGGGCAACTTGGGGGTTCAGTGTCTTGCCCAAGGACACGTCGACATGTGGACTGCAGGCTGAGATTCGAGCCTCCAGCCCTCCAGTTAGGAGACGACCTCTCTACCCACTGAACCTCAGATACCCCCAGTTTAAAGGCAATGCTAAAAATGCTAATTGAGTATACTGTAATTGTTGGAAAAATTATTGATAGTATGTTTGCTAAGTAAACACCCAGAGACCCATAGTGAAATTATTATATGTCTTGTACGTGTACTGAGTAAACACTGGAAGTAGAATAGATATTTATCAAGCTTACACCCTGCTGTTACATGCTGTTCTCATGAGCAGTCAGACTGCAGATTTGCAGAAATGTTTGTGATCACACCCCATTCTATGACACAGAACTTACCATGACTGTTAAGTTTGAATGTATAAATGACCCTCAGAGAGACCGCCTCTGAGCATTCTCTTCATGCAACCATGTTGTGTGTATTAATGCTCCCTTGCTGCAAGTGTAATTAAACTTTTATATTATCTATATAAGTGGCCTCAATCTGCTTTGTCTATTATCAATTTAACCCTAACAGTATGTAAATGTCTGACCCACTGGGACTGTGAGGAAGAAAATAAAAGCTGAAATCAGTCTTTTTCTCTGCTATTATTCTGACATTTCACATCCTTAAAATAAAGTAGTGATCCTAACTGACCTAAGACAGGGAATGTTTATAGGATTAAATGTCAGGAGTTGTGAAAAACTGAGTTTAAATGTATTTGGCTAAGGTGCATGTAGACTTCTAACTTCAGTAGTATAGGAATTATTTATCATATGTGATTTGTATTTGAATAGCATCACTAAAAACTTGAAAACACATGTGGCACAAGTGAAATGGTGGATCATACAGTCCATGATAAGATGGCTAGGAAATTAACTACATACTGGACCTGGAGGTATTAACTTTTTATTTGTTAATCCAAAGTTCCTATTAAACTCAAAATGTAAAAAGTTGTGCAAATTGTAACAACTTATTACATGATGTGCAAGAGCTCATCACAGTATGTTTTGTATTCAGTGTTTTATTACATTATTTGAAGATTATTACATTATCAGCTTTCATTAGCTTGTTTATTACATTATACTCTATCCACCTATTACACTATGAGTTCCTGTTTGGTCCTTAAGGTGATACACATTTGAACTGTATATATGTACATCCATCTTCACAGTCATTAGAATTTGTGGTGACCTTTTCAACAGTTTTCAGTGGACATACTTTCTGTAATATGCCACATGAATATAAAGTGCACAACAATTAGAAGAGAGAACCTGTCCAACGTAGGTCTCCCAGCACTGGTCCTGCTGAGAGCGGGTGTTCTTCTCAAACAGAGCTGTCTGGTTGGAGATGGTCCCTGAGCTTCTGCTGCTGTTGGTAACATCCAGCACCATGGCAATAGTCGCTATAGTGCTGTTTTGATGCTCAGAAACAGAGATATCAGACACCAGGGTGGACAGGCTGTCTACCTCAGGCTGCGCGATGGTGGCTAGGAAGGAACTGGAGTCAGACCAGTTACCTGGACTCACTGGGACCTGGATGGTAAATATAGTTGGGTCTATCACCAGCTATTTGCTATACCACTTCTGTATGGGCAAATAATAATGTAACATCATCTTTGTGATGCCAAAGGAGTATCTTAAAATTTTGGGTAATCACTTCATCTCAAGAGTGAGAACAGAGAATAAGCACATTAGTTTCATGTCTGTGTATTAAGCACAGAGCTGGAGTAAGAGTGTGGTTAGCCTAGCTTAGCATAAAAACTGGAAATGGTTCATTATTAAATATTTTTATAATGTGTATTGATTGATTGATATTAATACAGGTTTGGGTGAATTAACTTTAGTTATATGTATTTGTAGTTAGAATAAAGATTATGTACATTGATAATGTAGATTTACAGACAGATTAATGTTAGCAGCAACAACGGCTTAATTGCTAATTCACGAAACAAAGAAAAACATGGACATTCTATTTGGGTTGTCTTTTTATCAGCATCTGTGGGTTCAGTCCAATGAAATTACAAAGAACCTTTTTTTCATTTGCAACTGCTGATATTGTGCCATGCATAAAATCTTTGTACTTTTTTTACAAAAATTTGTTCCCACAAAAACTGTCTGATAGTCTGACAACAATCGACAGCAACTGGGACATTATTTAAAGAAAGTGATGATGCAGCATAATATTTTTTTACATGCTTTTAAATTATAATTTGGGTGAAATAACCCTTTAGATTGTTACAACAGTGTTGCTCTACCCAAAGCTACAGTAATGTTACAGGCAAATGTCCAGATCTCAGGAATGAAGTTGATTTTATCATAACTGAAAGGAATCATAGCCAGAACTATGAAAGAACTCTGAATTACAGTTTCTGTACTCACTGCGGAGCTCATACTGTTGACCTTGTCAAGGAGGGCAATTATGAGGCTGTAGAGATTCCCCAGGTATAAAACAAGCACTCTGTGAACACATAAATATATGACTAATGTGCAGTACGATGTGTTATATAACGTGTAACTGAACTGATATATTACCTGGCCAGCTGGAACCGCAGCGAGGTTCGTGGATGGTACATCTCCAGCTGAGCCACCAGCTCAAAGGCAGATGGAGCAATCATGGTGATGAGAGAAACCACCACACTCACCTGGAGAAGGGATGGATATGAAAGTCACTGATATGGGCAGTGTATCTCAATATACATTATATTATACAAAATGAAAGACAGTTCACTTGGTCTCTCCTTTACCAGCAAAGTTTTAATATTCTTACTTTATTGACAGATTTGGATTCAAATCTGTTCCTCGGGGTTCACTTAGTTTTATAAGAATGCTGAAAGATGTTTCATCTGAGCATTAAAGTAAATTTGAAATGATAGCAGAGCAGCTCATATTGTATATTACCATAAACTTACAATTTTGTCATTTGACAAATTTTAACTGCTTTAAATTGACTATTTCTGCCTTATTCCAGTTAAAATATGGGGGTTCTCAATTACCTGCTCTTTTCATCAGTAGATATATTATTGTTTACCTATCTATGGAGAAATTCAAATTAAACTAGAGAAATGCATTTCCTGTCGTAAATGCGTGTGGATGCTGATAAAAGCTGAAAGATCATCCTGAAAATGCCTGAAATCAATTGCTGAAACAGCTGAAAGATAAGAAGAAATGGCTGAAGTTCTTTGTTGAATAATCTGAAGGATGAGATGCAATAAAGTAGGAATGGTCTTGAAGAGCTGAACATTTTGATACCTGAATGGCTTTTCTAGCTGAAGGTATGCTGAACTTATTAAGATGTGAAAATAATCCAATTGGACCATGCAAAGGAGGTAAAACAAGTAGCTGTGAACGTGTAAAGCTGAATCAATTAAAAAGTATAAATGTTATAAAAAGGTTGAGTACAAACAGGGATGTCCCTGAAGAGTTGAACAGATGAAGACCTCAATAGCCTGTATAGCTGAAAGTATGCTGGACTTATAAAGTGCCAAAAAAAAGGTGGAAGATCCCATAAAAGATCCCATTTCCTGTTGAAAATGCGTGTGGATGCTATATGCTGAAAGATCGCCCTGAAAATGCTGAACAATTTGACAACTGAAAGAAATATTTACCTGAAAGTATGCTGAAGTACAATTTTCCCATTAATTTGAATGGGGCAAGATTTTCAAAATTAAGCTAAATATTTCAAGTGTATGAAGTTTAGAAAACTTCTGAAGAGAAGCATGAATGTCCTTGAGGAGCTGAACATTTTAATAGCTGAAATAGCTGAAAGTATGCAGAAGTAAAAATGGCGCACAGCTGCATCAGCATTGCCTGGATTGTGAAAGCCAAGTGTTATAAGTATAACCGTGTTTAGGTTGTGTGACAGAGTGGCTCTGTCACTGACTGAGTACACACATCTCACACACACACACAGACTTAGCGGACAGACACGCCATCCTGGTAGCATTAACATGTATAGATGACGTGTTGTTGTTATCCATCAGCTGTTGAGGACAGCGCAAACACTGCACCTATGAAGTCACAGTGAGATCAGTGTGTGATTTATTCTTCCTGTGTTTATTCAAAGGGGACCGTAAACTTGGACATCTATTGTATTAATAACAGACTTGACAATAAGGCTTGAATTTTGGGAATATAATTTATCTTATTCAGTGGTACCAATTCAAAATGTTCCCACACTTGTGACCGTTTCCATGATGGCTCCATAGTGAGTCAATCAAAAATGTGTTGACAAGACGTAGGACAGAGCGCTGTTTCATCCATCTTAAATACATCTGTATCGCTCCAATGTTTCAAAGCTCCACCTGTTGAACCAAACCAGTCAGCTAATTCAATCTGAATGAAGCAGAAGTGGTTCAAACGTCATCAGTCATGTGGTTTTTCCTGATTTGAAGCAAGTTCTGGCACAGTGCTTCAGAAAACTATCCTCCCGAGTTTGAAGCAAGCTTCGGAGCCTAGAGTATTAGAGGGAACATCACTAGCCATGGTAATTCTGGAGGTGCATGTTGTTGGGCTCAGGATCCTGGTGGACTGCTCATATTGGTCTTTGAGACTATTTATTTTTCTATGGTTTCACTTCAGATTTGAGTGGGTACATTTGTTCAAAATCTTTATTTTATTCAAACAGGCAAAAATAGCAAGATGGGTGTAAAAATGGTAGACACTGCTGTGGCAGTGTGTGATTTATAAGCATAAAAATAGTTACTCCATGTTATTTTGAACAAATGTTATGAATAACGAATCGACTGTCAAAGTCTATTTATTGCTTTGTCTGTTCCGGGTTGTCTAATGCGGACTAATATCCTGTTCGTCTTTAGAAGCCATCTGGAGAAACATACGGGTGATCCTTTCTTCATTGCTCTAACTGTTTATCTTTATTTCACAGGTCAGTACTTATCCTTGAAGACCTGAACATTTTGATAGCTGAAATAGCTGAAAGTGTGCTGAAGCACAATTTTCTTATTCATTTGAATGGAGCAAGATTTTCAGAATAAAGCAAAATATTATAAAAGGAGGAAGTTTAGAAAAATTCTTAGGAGAAGCATGAATGTCCCTGAAGAGCTGAACATTTTGATAACTGAAATTATGATGAAGTAGAATTTTCCCATTCATTTGAATGGGGCAAGATTGTCAAAATAAAGCTAAATATTTCAAAAGTATGAAGTTTAGAAATGACTGTCCTTGAAGAGCTGAACATTTTGATATCTGAATGGCTTTGCTAGCTGAACATATGCTGAACTTATTAAAGATGTGAAAATATTCCCATAGAACCCCACAAACTAGGTAAAACAAGTAGGTGTGAATGTGTGTGTGGGTGGGGGGGCAATAGAGAGGGAGCGGGGGGAGGGAGAGAGACAGAGACAGAAAGAGGAGGAGGGGGAGAGAGACAGAGAGGAGTTATGTATGGACATGTCCCAATTGCGCTGCATTTTATGAACCACCAGATGGCACTCCAAGACTGTGTCAATGACTCAGCACTTTGAGCTCCCATTGACTTGTATTGCAAAATATAAAGGTGAATAAATTAAAAAGTATAAACGTTATAACAAAGAAAAATACAAGCAGGGATTCCTTGAACAGTTGAACAGATTGAGACCTCAATGGCTTGTATAGCTGAAAGTATGCTGGACTTATTAAGTGCCAAAAAAAGGGTGGAAGATCCCAGAATAAAAAAGAAAATGCGTGTGGATGTGAGCTTGGTAAAGTTGCTCTGAAAATGCCTGAAAATCAATCGCAAAAATGGCAGAAGGATGAGAAGAACTGGCTGAAGTTCTTTGGTGAAATAGTTGAGAAAAATTGGCTGATGTTCTTTTCTGAATTATCTGAAGGATGAGATGAAATATATACAAGCAGGAATTTCCTTGAAGAGCTAAACATTTTGATACCTGAATGGCTTTTGTCGCTGAAACTATAGCTGAAACTATGCAGAACTTATAAAGATGTAAAAATTGTCCCATTCATCCCCACAAAGTAGGTAAAACGAGCAGGTGTGTGTGTGGGCGTGAGTGAGAGAGAGAGAGAGAGAGAGAAGTCTCAATTACACCCTGTGGACTACTACCGTGTGGCTATTGAAATGAAGCATTGTGAGGATTGCCCTGAAAATGCCTGAAATCAATTGTTTAAAGAGCTGAAGGATGAGAAGATATGGATGAAGTTCTTTGTTGAAATAGTTAACACAAATATGCCAAAGATGCCAAACTAGAGTGAACTACATTAAATGGCATGCCAAGAACAGCTGTTGATTCATACAGCTGTGCAAAGGGATTAGATCATGTCCAGTTGCTGTGTTGTTCAGAAGTTTGCTTGGCTTTCAAGGGGAAAAGTAATGTCATGGTTTTATGAGCTTAAACACGAAATCGCCACCTTCTTCTCACACAATAACTCCCTGTATACTGAGATGCTCAGTGATAAACTCTGGCTCATGCTCATGGCGTGTCTTACTAATGTGATTGAGCACCTCAATACTTTAAATGTGTCTATGCAAGGGATAGGACACAACATCTTTGAACAGACTGACAAAGTCACTGCCTTCAAAAAGACGTTGAGGTTGTGAATGTAGTGGTTGAAAATAAACAAGGTTCCAGAGGTAACTGTATGTACTTCATATATAGATATTATTTGTACTAGTTGTGTAAGGGAGAGCTGAGTGGTTATGGGTTCATTAAGTTCATGTGAGCTGGACAATGAGCTTATGTAAGTTGGTCAAGATGTTTCCTGTTTTTGAAGTACATCTCAGGGTGTTGTCTCCCGAAACTGGAGACAGGAAGCTAAGTTCAGAAATTGACGTAACAGCCTAAGGAAAGGTGCAGATAAAAGAGTGGGCCTGAAGAGTTAGAGAGGGAGAGAGAGAGAGAATGCTATTGGGACGGTAAACCGTGTGCTTTTTGGGGGACCCCGCCGGGGGGAGACTGACAACTGACTGGGGGTTGACAGAAAGACTGACTTGTGACCAACAACAACTGACTGGACATGACGCTTTTGACAATCTTTTTTTGTAATGCTTTATCTATCACACTGCAGGAGGAGACAAATATGCCAAAGATGCCAAACTAGAGTGAACTACATTAAATGGCATGCCAAGAACAGCTGTTGATTCATACAGCTGTGCAAAGGGATTAGATCATGTCCAGTTGCTGTGTTGTTCAGAAGTTTGCTTGGCTTTCAAGGGGAAAAGTAATGTCATGGTTTTATGAGCTTAAACACGAAATCGCCACCTTCTTCTCACACAATAACTCCCTGTATACTGAGATGCTCAGTGATAAACTCTGGCTCATGCTCATGGCGTGTCTTACTAATGTGATTGAGCACCTCAATACTTTAAATGTGTCTATGCAAGGGATAGGACACAACATCTTTGAACAGACTGACAAAGTCACTGCCTTCAAAAAGACGTTGAGGTTGTGAATGTAGTGGTTGAAAATAAACAAGGTTCCAGAGGTAACTGTATGTACTTCATATATAGATATTATTTGTACTAGTTGTGTAAGGGAGAGCTGAGTGGTTATGGGTTCATTAAGTTCATGTGAGCTGGACAATGAGCTTATGTAAGTTGGTCAAGATGTTTCCTGTTTTTGAAGTACATCTCAGGGTGTTGTCTCCCGAAACTGGAGACAGGAAGCTAAGTTCAGAAATTGACGTAACAGCC